CGCCAGAGACGGGGGCGCCTCGCTCCCTTGTCGGGTGTGTGTGTGGGGCGGTGGGGTTGGAGACTCTCCAGGGCTCCAAGTTGGGAGGATCCCGGTGGATATTTGCTTGGGAAGGATGCGCGCGGTTTCCTTGGAGGCCGCCGGCCCTTCGGGTCTGAGCTGTGGCCCGCTCGCACAGGAGATGCTTGGCAGTGTGCTCGTAAAGAATAACCAAACCTCTTCTCCCTCTTTCCAGTTTACAATGGATTTTGGATAAGCAAGATCTGCTGAAGGAGCGCCAAAAAGACTTGAAATTTCTTTCTGAAGAAGAATATTGGAAGCTACAGATATTTTTTACGAATGGTAAAACTCTTTTATCCTCAGTTCAGCTGTGTAGTCTGTGTTGTGTTTGCCATGTCTAGACATGAGTTCCAATTCCTTAGAGAATGCAATGTTTTCACTAGTGTATTGCATCCATTTTCCTGGTGTATTTTAACAAAGAGCTGGAGTGTCAATGACATTGTCATTTGGATCAGTTGTTTTGACAGATTTTTAGGATAATTTATAGATGAATCAAATTTATTTTTCTAATATTTGAGAGGACAAATAGTAGATCTTTTTTTTTCTTTATTTACAATGAATTCTTAGAAAAAAATAAAAGGAGGGGAAGCCATCAGAAACTACTAAACTAGCCGACTGAAGAGTCGGTGCTAAACAGTAGAAGTTTTTGGTGAGCTCTAGTAGCTATTGTTCCTCTTGGCTTTAGCTACTCTATGAAGTGCTAGCAAAGAGCAAACCTGTTGTGCCAGCTTGTGCAAACGGTTGTGTTCAGTTACACTCTTTGAAACCTGCCCCTCAGCCTGTGTCCTCATGACCAGTTAATGCCATGTTAATTAATTAACTTCGTGCTGGGTGGCTCCCAGATTGCCCGGTGCTTCAGATGGGACCGAGTGCCTCCAGCAGCCTGTTCTCCTAGAGAGTTGGGGGCTTCTCGGGCTGTGCAGCTACCCGAGACTAGATCCTGGAGGCTGTTTGGCTGCACGAGTGGTATCACTGGAGGGAAACGGACTCCACAGGCACTTATATTATTCAGCATTAAAAAAAAAAAACTTTCTAGGGTTTTTTTAAAAAAAAAGCCAAGTAGAAATCTGTTTGCAGACAGTTATTTAAATATTTTTCATGGCAGTCTTTTAAAGTACAGAACACCTTTTGGAGGGGGCAGGGGGAGGTATCTAACTGGTCCTCAAACATAGTTGAGGCAGAAATGTTCAGTGTTTTTTCCGAGGACCACTGAAAGTTCTTATATTAGTGCTGGGATTATAACAGGAAAATACTTACCCCAGCCTCTCCTTTAGCTTGACTCTTCTGTTGTGAGTGAGTATGCTGCAAATGTTATCACTGCTGATAGGCCTGTGGTAGCTCCTGTACAGCACCAGAACATTAAGCAACCAGTGGTTTGTTTTTCATTTGAGTCCTGAAACTTCTTCATGATAAAGAAAGTGGCATGCTGATACTTCTAAAGTGATATTTTATGTTGCTTTTCAGTAGAAAATTATCTGGACGAAAGCAGCTTCCTGTTTCATCCCCATTTGAAAGTGGTTGCTGGTTGTTTGGCTGTATGCAACTGCTTATGCTGTTAAAATGTAGAGGAGGAAAACTGTTGTCTCAAGTAGTTCAAGAAGGAAATTCGTGTTGACTTTTCCCTTTGGATCACAGTTTTTAGTAGAGATTTTGGCTGAAAAGCAGATTAATTGATTTCCCTTTTTGGTTTAGTGCATAAGCTATGATATTTGTGTTACAGACTTCTAAAAACATTTAAATTTAAAGCGATGTTGTTTTAAAAAAAATCTATTTTTGTAGATATAAGGGAATAAATAACCCAACAGTTTATTTTAAAATTCTTCAAAAATTAATTACAAGTGTTGGATTTTTTTTTTTTCTCAGCATGTACAAGCTTCCATTTCATTAAGTCTCTCCAGGCCCCTTGTCCATTTTTTCCCCTAAACCTCACTGGATTTCTGTCTGGCAGCAGATGGCCTAATCGTTCCTGAAAATCCCATGGGAATGAGAAACCTATTTGGAGAATTTTGCTTGGCTTAATGCTTGGATGTTTGTGATGCCTTAACAGTAAGACAGCTTTGTAGCCCTCTGGTCAAGTCAAAGGGAAAGATCCTTTTAAGCTTCCCAAGACACACTGAATAATATTTCAGTGTTTGTCTGGAGATCAAGCTGACCTAACATCCTTTCCAGCAGTGTTCCTGGTAGCCCGAGGGTCACTGCACCCTGGTCTCCATTCGGCGCCCGTCCTTCCTTCCTAGGAGAAGAGCAGTGTGGCCGGGGAAGGGATTTAAAGTCTCGTTGAGTTAACATAGGGACAAATCTTTTTTTTTTTTTTTCCCTCTAGACTAGGGGGAGGAAGGGTTTTTTTTTTTTTTTTTCCCCCACATTTCATCCCTTTTACTGTGATGTAGACTCTTGATATTTGCTCTTCTTTTATGCTGAGGTGTCATCAAAAGTAGCAGCGAGAGGTACTTTGTTCCCAAGAGCCGGTGGAGAGTAGCTTGGGTAGAAAACTGCATCCTTAATAGTCTTTGCATAGAGACTTTGCAATGACTGATAACAGAACTGTTTGCTTTTTCCATCAACAATCACTGTCCTGATCTTGCTGTACATTTCAAAAATGTATACTTGAGTATATGTTGAATCAGCTTTTTAGACGTTTGTGTAGAGGGGGGGGAAAAAGGAGGAATCAAATGTAGCTCAGAATAGCAGACATGAGGCAGTACAGGGAGGGAAAAAAAACAAAAACAAAGCAAAACCCACGAACAAGTAGCGACCTTATGTTTCACTCCGTCATTCTCTACATGCTGCCCTGCTCTTAGTCCCAGCTTGGTGCACCTGATTTGCTTGGCACCTTTCCTTTGCCTGGGAGGCCCAACAGGAGCTACCTGCGCAGATGACACCAGGGTGGTTTCCTGGCCAAGTGGCAGAGGAGCCCTTTGCTGGAGCAGCTGACTCCATCCTCTGGTCTCCCACCCCCTCTCCCTGGACTAAATATGTCAGTTCTTCAACACCTGCTGCCTCTGCCAGATTCAATGGCTGTGTTTGTGTTGGCAGTTTCAGTCATTCAGAGGCAATATCCACTTTGCATGGCACTGAGAAGCCACCAACTTATGTTTTAACTATCTGCATTTGTTTTGCTGTAGAAGGAATTACCCGAGCTCAACCCTTCTGGGCCCGGTGTCATCACCTCGACGGGCACACTCGCTCTGTATGCAGTGAAACCCCCTTCCTTTCCCTTCCCTCCCCTCTTCAGAGGAGACCCTGAGCTCCAGGGTGCAGTTCCTCAGTTCCTCCTCTTCCCCTCTCAGCTCTGTAGCTTTGCAGCAAGGGGCTCTCTCGCCCGAGGGGAGGAACTGGAGTGCTGGCTGTACAGCTGCTCCTGGGATCCTGAGCAGCACCCACGTTTTGAGATCCTGTGCTATTTGTTATCAAACTGTCTTCAAAAACTCAACTCAAGCTTTTGTTCGTTTTTCTCAAGTTATCCAGGCTTTAGGTGAACACCTTAAATTAAGACAACAAGTTATTGCCACTGCAACAGTCTACTTCAAGAGATTCTATGCCAGGTAGGACTGTTTACTATGATGGTACAAGAATAAAACATTTGTTAGGCACACTTTGATAGCCCTTTTAAAATGCAGTTCTGTATTAAAAAACAACAACAAAAAAGACACTTTTGGGTTTTTTTTTTTTTTTGGATGGTGTAAAGCTTTTATGCTGGTAAAGTTAACTTAAGCTTTGCTTTTTTCAAAAGGAAGTGTGGTGCTCTTAATAGATTAATCTTTCTGCGTGTATGAAACAACACATTATAATTTTGTTATAACATTTCAGATATTCCCTAAAAAGTATAGATCCAGTATTAATGGCTCCTACGTGTGTGTTTTTGGCATCCAAAGTAGAGGTATGAAGTATTACAATTTTCTAATGTAAATTTTTGTGGTGTATGAGAGAGAGAAAACATTTAGGCCTTCTCAAATTTTTGTGGTTCTTCATGCTTTGGGGGTTGAAACCTCTTTCCATGGGTTTCTATAATAATTTAAAAAAGGAGGCAGGAAAGGCCTTCAGACATGTTGCTTAGTACCTGATCTTTCACAGTTTTCTTTAAATTACTAATCCTGAAGGGCCTCTGAAAATTGGAAAAAAAAATTAAATGGCTGTTTCACTGTAAAACAGTGTTCGCATATTTGCATAGCATATATTAATTTGTGCAGTTTTTGTTAAAGTATCTCCTTTCTGGTGTGTTTTTCCTTATGTATGTTTGCTCAAACTTAAAGCCGAAGTTTTATTCCTAATTTCCTTTTCCCCTTTTGCATAGCAAAGGATCTCAGGGTTTGTCATGCTTTCATTCCCTGCAGTAAGCAGCAGGCTCCTGTGCTGTCTTTGGGAGCTGGCAATAAGGAACTGACCCCTCAGGGGTAGCAGTGAGCAGACCCTTCACCCTTAGAGTCCGCTTTGAGTGTGGCCAAGCTGGGCACTGCTCTTAGTCCTCTGCAGTGGAACAAGTTTTCTGACTGTTTGAGAAGTGTCCGCATAATGAGCAGATATCAGGTTAGCATGTTTGTGGTATGTCAACTCCAGTGAGTGTTACAGGAGGATCCCAAATATCTTTTGTGGGATAGAAGCAGTCCAAACGAGCCAGCATTTGCAGGCGATGCTGTGGTCTGTGCAAATACTGTAGCACCTTCCAGTGTTGGGGAGAGAGGAAGGAGACAGAACAGAGGGGAGAGTATTTCCTACCAGCCTGTTAATGAAGCTTGTTGGAAAGGGCAGACATGGGTTTACAGATTTACCATATGACCATATGTAATAGCACAAATGCTAGGAGTCAGTGCAGCCTTACACTAAGGCTTCCACAGCTGTGGGGGTAATTTGTAGTAGTAACATTTCTGCTGTGAACTTCTCTGATTTTTTTTTTTTAATATATTTTACATAGCCATTTTTGGCTTGCTCACTGGCTCAGCAGAGAAGCTAAAGCTTTATGGAAGCGTAGAGAGAGAGGGAAAAAAAAAAAAGAAAGTAGTTAATGACAAGTTGCTAAAGACAGTTTTCTCTCCAAGTGGGTTAAAACTTACTTTCTTGAAGTCCTCTTGTCTGTTCTATGTAGGCTGTGAGCCAACTGAACTTCAGGTATTATGTCTTTGGCACATTTTAAAGTTTTCTATTTCTTATAATTCAAACAACTAAGTAACTAATAGATGAAAAAATCTTTCTATTTAACTATAACCACTTAATTTACTCTGTTTACTTGAAAGAAAAAGAAGGGTGGGAAAAAAGAAATAATGCATAAGAAGTCTAGTTTACTTATTATTTTTTTAATCTTAATACTGTAATTGTGTGAATAAATGACATTGCAGGTGGTTCACCTCATTTACCATTCTTTTTCTTCAGGAATTTGGTGTTGTTTCAAATACAAGGTTGATTTCTGCTGCTACTTCTGTATGTAAGTATTAGCAAACTTTGTTGTGCAAGATTTGGGTGTCTTGCTATAGGGAGATTAAAAAGTAGCTTTTTATCAGGTTGCGAATGGCTTTTTTTCACATTAACTGTTAATAAGTAATTTAAGCCGGTTAGCATAAATAAGTTCTGTTTCCATATTTAAAACAGAAGGGTTCTTCCTTAGTTTTATGTGAGTGTGGTAGGAGCTTATGCTAAGCATAATTAAAAACTAAATACTAAAATTAAAGTATTGTCCTTTAGAAGCAATTTTAAGTAGTAAGTTGATCTCAGAACTGCTCCAAGATAGAATTGGACACTTAGAATTCTATTCGTCTGTTTTATAGCAGGTCCATTTTCATGGAAATATCCATCTTCAGAATTTTTGGTAGGCTCCATATGGCCTATTTTTTTAATCCTTTTTTTCTTCCATCAGAAAATCAGTCTTTGCACACAATGTTTATTTCTAAATATACATTTTTAACTTACATGTTCTTCCCAAATAGAGTTAAAAGGCACAATTCAGTCTTGTCATAGTTATTTCATTCTTGATCTTTCCCATCTGCCTTATATTTCCTGGTTCCCGTGACTCGCAGCGCATCTATCCAGACCCGTAGAGTGACGGCTCCTTAAGTGAATGCTGTAATTTGACCTAGAAGGTCCAGCTGCTCTCACTAGGCAGCTCCTCCCTGTGCTCTCCAAAATGTAGGTCAGTGCTTCCAGAATCCCTTGCAGAGGTCGAGGGGACAGGTGACTGGCTGCATCTGTAGCCTCCATGTGTGGATCACTCCCCAGCGCTGGCCTTACGACAATTCCGCCACCAGGAGCTGAAACGCATCTGCGGTGCCAGCCTGACCAAGACCAGTACTGCATTTAGCAGCAGAGTTGCTATTTTTACTGCGGGAGCATCTCAAAGCACAGATCTGTGTGGCAGCTTTGATGCCTCTGTGAGAGAGGTAGATGGATTTTGGTAGATCAGGAGCAGTTGATTTAGCTTAGACTCTTACAGTTGAGCTCTGCTATTCCTGAAAGTCCTGTGTCTCAGACTCCCGTGGAGGCCTTTGCCCGTGGGACTTCCTTCAGACCTACAATCCTCATCTGCTCTGTTGAGTGCTCTGCATTTTGTGGAAGTGGGGGCAAAATGCTTTCCACTAGTGCTTATACAACCTTTATTCTACGTGCTCTTCCATTACCAAAGTTACTTCTTTGACTTATACCGTTTTTTTGAAAACCTTCATGGAAAAGTTTTTTTTTTTAAAAAAAAAGGTGAGACAAAAGGAAATTGTCAAAGGGGAAGATTAGCATGGTACTAGTCAGTTCAAAAGACTTGTCTGTTTTTGTCCTAAGGCAAAATTTCTAGCCAAGTTTACCATAGGTGAAAAATTTCTTTAAGGTCTAAATGTTGAAATCTTTAGTCCAGAGGACTGGTGCTGTCTTCCTCATCAAAGTGAATCACATACTGATAGTCTGGATGTGGAATCGATTCATAATTTACTGTCTGATGTTAATACATGGAGTACCGTCTACTTCCCAGTTGTTAAATGTTATCTGCTTTCCTTAGAGGACTGAGATTTAAGCAGATTTTAAAATATTTTTTAAGTTTCGAGTTCTCAGACCCACATTGTCAAGGGTATCCTCTTTGTAATTTCGTTGCTCAGCATTCTATATCAGATGGCTATTTTTGCCATTTAGTATCATCCTTAACCCCAATTGCCTATTCTAATTGTAGAAGGCAAGAGGAGAATTAAGTACCTAAAGCAGGGATCATGAAAAGCTAGGAACCTCAGGAAACGTGCACTTGCATGTTCTCGTGAAGGTAACAGCTTATTAAATTAAGTCTTATGCCAAAGTAGGTGCTTTTGTATGAGAAAACTCATGGAGATAAACACCCTCAAAAGGTCTGTGTGTAGTGTATTGACTTCTTGCTTTGAATTCGAGTCTGTTTTTTGCATATTCTGCATGAATGTTGGAAGAATGAACATCCTGAACGTACAAGACCTCTCTGTCCGACATCCCTTCTTCCCATTCTGGCTTTTCTGAGACTTCATTACACAACTTGAAATTTTGCATGTTTTAATGGATCCAGCCCTAAAAATCTTTCTAAAACAATCCCATGTGGAAGTGATCCACTAGACTTGAAGTAAGTAGGTAGCTCTCCGAATGCTACTTGTAGGAAGTTAGGTGTCCATGTGGCTAGCAGTTAACTGGAATATTTAATGGTGTCCAAAGCAGCAGACTAGTGATTGGCTGAGAACCTGTAACAGTTTGGATTTCGGGTGTCTTTTTTTTTTTTCTTTTTTTTTTCACCTTTCGGGATCTCAAATCTTATGCAGCTGACTTAACTTTTCTCTTTCTAACACAAATATTTTATGTGCTACAAGCAACTGTGCTCTGCCAAATGGATGTAAATGGTTCTATACAGACAAAATAACAGAAAAGAGAAGTAATTTCATTAGTTAAATATTTTAACATAATGATTTCTCTTTATTGTAGTGAAAACTAGGTTTTCTTATGCCTTTCCGAAGGAGTTTCCTTATAGGATGAATCATGTAAGTATGCTGTTCAAAAATATATCTTGATCAAATAAATTAACAGACAAATGTTTGTTAGCAGGAAATTGTATGTCTGACATATTCTGTTTTTAACTTATTTGCGTATCGGAATAGGAACATACGTGCCTGTTTTGGAGCCAAATATGGCAAAAAGAATATTACTCTGACAGTGGAAGTGCTAGCCATTTTTTGTTAAATTCTGTGACAGAAATATTTCCTTACTGGTAGAGCAAGTTTGCATAATTAATTTGAGATAGATTATTGGGAAAATTTATCTTTGGAAAGTAATAAAATTATATAACTTCCTTTCCTTAAATTGTTGAAAGGAGTGCTAGAAAGAGAAATTCAACAATGAGTGACTGAAATAGCTATTTTATGCATTATGGTGATAAAGAAAGATACAGCCTTTAAAAATGTTTTTATTTACAACTACATTGCTTCAGGGAAGATAAATAACCCCTGTGCCTGGGATGTTTCTAGCCGTGCATGCTGGAACAGTTGACTTAAGGAAAACAGTTTTATTTTTGACTGTAGTATCTCATGCCCTCTACAGAATTTTTTTTTACAGTCTTCATTTCAAATTTAGAGATTTCCCAGTGTTTTCAAGGCATTCCCAGTCACAGCATTAAAAAAATTGGTACATTTTTTTTCTTAAAACTAGTTTTGGCTTAAGCTCTAGTAGTTGAAAGTTAAGTGCAGCTCACTTTTTAGCCTGACCATGATGCTACTTTCTTTGTGATTTTGGTTTTCAGCTAATCAACAAAGGCAGATGATAGATTACAGAGTGTTTAAGTCCTTGCAATAAAACTAAATTGCTGTTTTACAGATAAAAGCAGGCAGAAGCATATTGTAGAGTACCACTTTTCTCTAGTGTAGTAAAGCACAATCAGTCCAGTATTTTCCTTAATATTACTAGTATATCAGTCACTGTCTTGACTGAGGAGTGCTGTTCTAATTGCTGCATAATGTTTCATATGAAATTGAAGCTGAGAGTACATTAAAAGGCCGTTTGGCCTGTTAGCAGTATGCTCAAGGGGCTCTGTTGCTACAAAATGACTTCTCTCTTGCTGTTACAGGCTGGGAACAGTTTTCTTGTTGCCAGGCATTGAAATACTTTCATAGTAACTTTGATTCAAAACACTTAAACACATTGTTATTATGACTCGAGTTAAGTTATAGTGTAGTAAGGCAAGGAATAGTGTTGGGTTTTTGTGTGTTTTGTAGCTGTATATGAAATTCATCTAGAAGAGTTGGACATGTAGGTGCTGAAGAAAAAATCTTGTGTATTTGTGGTGTTAAGTTGGATGTCAGTTAATTCTTTCTGCTCTCTGAAACATGCTACTCCTTAATTGTATTTTTATTTCTTTGCAGATACTAGAATGTGAATTCTATCTCTTAGAATTAATGGTAGGTGTTTATCTTTTATTATTTTTTTAACTGATGTGTTAGTTTACTTTTGATGTGTTAAGAGTATTTTGAATTTGTGATTTTAGAATGCTGTCCCTACGAGTCTTAACATTTATGTGTTCAGTAGAATGCCCTAGTTGCCGAGCTGCTGTCTAGACTGAGTGGGGGAATTCTTAACTCTGTTGCAGCTCTACAGTAAAAATGCAGATTGCAGGACTGGGGGGGCAGCAGGATTGTGTGGACATCTCTGTATTCCAGTTGGTAGAGCTCTGCTGGGAAGGGTGAAGCATAAGTCCTCTTTGTAGGACGACTTGTGTTTCTTAAATAAGAGGTACTTGCATATAGGTCCTGAAGCAGGGAGTAGGGTGTTGGTGTGCCTGTTTCCCCAGCAGAATGGCCAGGTGAGTGCCAGGCAGGAGCACGGAGTTGTCATCCTGCAGAATCCCCTTCCAGCTTCTCCGGAGGGCAGGGGTAGTGTCTCCAGACTAGTATATAACCTGGTAATTAGAGCAGCCTTCTAAGAAGTGAAGGTGGTTTTGAATCCTCTAAGAAAGAAAGTGAATTTGGAGCTTCCTGCTTTCTGAGACAGTGCTGTAACTACTGGGCTGTTATATGAAAGGGGCACAGCACAATGCTTTTCTTTCCAAGAATTTTTAAAGAAAGAAACCACAAGTGTTTTTCTACGAGGGTCACGGTCTCCTGCTGTGTTTTCTAGAGAAGTTGAAAATATGCAGCTTGCCCAGGATTATCAAGCAATTTAGATAAAGTTGTACCTAGTTTCTGCATGTTGGTTGGACTTGGATGTATTAGGCACCAAGCTGACTCTACCAGGATGTCCTGCTAAAGTGCCCCAAAAGGGAGAATAAAACAGGGAAGAGTCTGGTGACAGAGGCAAAAACTGAGGAGGGATATGTGGTGGTGAGAAGTGGTGAGGAGTTTGAACCCTGATTCCTAACTAGGGTATACCCGAATGCCTAAAGTGTTTGCAACCCCTTTTTAAGTGCTGTATTTAGTCTTCGATACCCCTGCTACACATGGCAGCAGCTTTTGAGCTGGGTATTTCAGAGCTTTATTTTGAGGAACCTAGTTAACAACTCACCTTTTGGAGATCATGGTGTCCTGGAAAAGTAAGTTTAAAAAGTGTATTTTCTATAACTGTGTTTCACTTCAGTGTCTAGCATATGTAAACTAATGCAGCTTTCCCCTTATTGTATCCATACACTTGGTTGTTTTCAGTGAGAGGGTTATTCCTCATTGTACACAGCAACCTGGGCCAGAATTTCAGAGCAGTGAAGACATTTCTTTTTTCTTTTTTTTTTTTTTCTTTCCAAACCAGTGTCAATTATGTCGGCATGCTTTCCATGTATGGTATTTAGTGACAGACTGTTTTCTGGCAGCATTTTGTATTTCCAAGTGGGAATTACGGGTTTGTAAGCAAATGAGGGTTCAGTGTGCTGCAGATGTGGCTCCCTGTCTCTAAGGGAAAGGACAGGGACAGACTGGCAACCATGCTCTGGAGTGGTAGTCTGGAGAGAGCACTGCCCTCATTAGAGCAGAGCTAGGTGTCATAATGCTACTTAAAAAAAAATCAGTCGCTGATTTTTAAATTGTTTTTGATGTGAACTGACAGCACATTCTGCATTGTGAGCTGACTTTTATCCTGTTGACATCTTTCCTAGGACTGCTGTTTGATAGTGTATCATCCTTATAGACCTTTGCTCCAGTATGTGCAAGATATGGGCCAAGAAGACATGCTGCTACCTCTTGCATGGTAATGAAGACAAGATTAATAAAAATACCTCTTCTCAGCAGGCAAGCAAGTGTTGAACAGTTAGGCTTCAGAAGTGTTTACGTAAAAGCAAACTTATAAAGCATATTAGAATACAAAGGGTGCCCTAATTAACTTATGCAGGTATTTGTCTGTGGCTTGAAATGTTTATCTTTAAATCTTTAGTGATTTTATTTTGAAGTGGGACAATTTTTAATTCTAGACTATCTTTAATAGCACAGTTTTCTGTGCTCCTGAATAGTGACTGAGAGTAATAGGGGGAAAAAAAAGGAAACAAACAAACAACAACAAAATCTGTAAATGTTACTTTTCTGTGCTATCTTGTTAGAGCAGCTAGAAACAGTATCTACTTTTGGTTTGTTTAGCTGAGTTAGGAGAACTTTTAAATACTTAAGCGGTTTCTCACGTGCAGATGGACAATAAAATTTGTTTGTCCTAACCTGCTTCTCAGGGGTTTTTCTTTTTTCTTTTTCTTTTTTTTTTTTATGGTGGATGTCGACACCCTCTGCAGAATGACATTTATGATGCTGTATTAAGTATTTCAAACTTGTGTTCTGACAACAAGGAAAATAAAAGCTTTAGGAAATTTTAGACAAGAATAGAGATCTCAGCTGTGCTAATTTTGCCCTTGGAACTCTGCTGTTTCTGCTGGTCGGGAAATTCACAAAATGTTTATGAACTAGCAGCAGTTTTTGAAGTCATGAAGGCTAAAGGTGAACAGGGTAATACTTCTAAGCTCTTTTTGCACAGGAGAATAGTGAATGACACATACAGAACTGATCTTTGTCTGCTGTACCCTCCTTTCATGATAGCTCTAGGTAAGTAACAGCAGATTGGATTTCTCTGATACTCAGAATGTCTCAGGAGCGCGTCTTGGTTCAGTGCTCATGTCGTGGTGTCTTTGCAGCTTGCCTACATGTGGCCTGTGTTGTCCAGCAGAAGGATGCAAGACAGTGGTTTGCTGAGCTGTCTGTTGATATGGAAAAGGTACTTCCTTTTTTTCTTCTCCCCCAACTTGTTATGGAGTGAGCAGAAGTCATGATTAGACGAAAAAAAAAACCTAATTATAGAAGTGGTTGATTGCCAAGCCAGATTAAATGTGAACTGACTCTGTTATAAGATCAAAATTCTACTTCTTAATTTAGTTGAAGGCATGTTTAGATAATTGCACACTTAAACTGACTGTGATAAATCAAAATCAGTGCTGCCTCTGACCTTATATATATATATATATTTTCTTTTTTGCTATTTAGATTTTAGAAATAATCAGGGTTATTCTGAAGCTGTACGAGCAGTGGAAGAACTTTGATGAAAGGAAAGAGATGGCTACTATTCTTAGCAAAATGCCTAAACCAAAACCACCTCCAAACAGGTATTGTACCTCTGTCAGTTAATATGCCTTTCACACAGAAAAACTGGACTGCTATCTTAAGCATGAGTAGAGGCGTAAATAGTTACTTGGAAGTGCAATATTGTGATTATTATAGTGATTATTCACAGTGCAGACCTTTCTATTATAAACAGCCAGCCTGCCTGCTCAGGAGCCAGGGAGAAAGAGGAGCTGTAGGTTCTGGGGGGGCATTAGTGTCCCTGCAAGGAAGGTGCTCCCAGTGCAGCTCAGCGAACATGAAGAGCTGTGGGGCGGCAGCGGTGCCTGCCCGGCCTCACTCCTGCCTACGGGGTTAAACATCTGCACGTGCAGGTGCCTGGGCACCTGCCTGTGTAGGGTCACCTTTGAAACGCTGCCTTCCGAAGTAAATTCCCCATGAAGTTGCATGGGATAGATTGAAATTATTATTCAAATACACTGAAGCTCCTTATGTACGTACAGAATAACAATTGTGGGTTTTTTAATGAAACTGCACAAAATTTATTAATTTACTCATGTGTGTGTTGATATATTTTCCCTGAAAAAGCACTTATTACTTTCAGAAAACCATATTTTTATTTTTTTGTTAAAATGACATGTAATGTTATACTCCTGTTCAATGACATGTGGATTTTTTTCCTCCAAACAGTGAAGGAGAACAGGGTCCAAATGGTAGCCAGAACTCTAGTTACAGCCAATCTTAGGACATTCCAAAGAATTTCTTTACGGACCACTTTGGATCAAGACATCTGGGGATCTTTCCTGTGTTCATGGAATGGACAGAAGATTTTAGTTACCATCTTTGACAAAGAACTTGAAGAATAAATAGCTTGTTTCTGTCAAGCATTTTGAAACCTTTTTCTTTAAAACTGCATCATTTTCCTTGAAGCTGGAGTAAATGTACTAAGATTTCTCAGTGTAAGGAATCAAACATAAACCAAGCTGCAAAAGATTAACACTATCCACTCAAAACAAACGGGTTTTGTTTGCTTTGAGAAAGTTGTAGCTTGCCATTAGAGCGAACTTTTTTTTAAAAGCAACAGTAACCTGAAGCCTAAGTATAATTATGTTGATGACCTGTGTTGTCTTTATTTTGTTTGTGACTGAAGGAAGATAGTGCACTGTCTGTTAAATCTATTCATTACATTTTTTTTAATAACTGTGGATACTGTAACAGGTAAAACAGGAATTCTTCAGGATCAAACCTAGAAGAGTCCACAAAGAGTATTGTTTTGATCGAAACTGCAGGAAAGAAACTCAGTTCCCTTTTGGATTAGAGAAATGCTGTTTTACTCTGTAGATGTACTTGGATATTTTTACCATGAAGCCTAGTAGTCCAGCTTACCAGAGAAGTGCAATATGTATAGTGTTTCTGCAGTTTTCTTCATCATTTCAAGTGTTAGGAACTAAAAAACAACCCAACACACTGATTTACTTGCAGGTACCTGTGCTGTGTGGTACATCGGAGTACTCTACAAGTAACTGATCAAATTCAAATCTGGATACGAGTGCTATTTTCATTGTGGATTTTTTTTTTTTTTGTACAAAAGATATATACACTGTTAGTCTGCCTTCACTGTTAGTGTGGATTTGTGTGGTTCATTAGAGAGGTTATTTATGAGGATCAGTGAGCTTTATACTGGCTAACTTTAACAACGATCCTCAGAGCAACTGTTTAGAATAACTGAAATGGGATTCCTTGGTTAACTATATGCTGGAGAAAATGAGATTCCTTCAAAGAGAAGGCCATATCCTGTGTTCCTTACTCAGGCAGATCTCCCAGTAAAGGCAGGAATTGATCTAGGTCAGACTTGCTGATTTTTAGGTAATTTTGTTCCTAAACAATTTCTTGTACAACTTTGAATGAGAAAGTTGACTTACCAAGTACAAAAGCTGAACAATAAAATAAAGTGCAGCAATGTGGTTGTCCAATTTCTTCTTTAATAAAACAACATGGTTCACTAGATTAAAATAGAGGTAAATTGCTCAATGGTGCTTTTGGTTAAAAAGAAAAACCTGACAACTTGAAAAAACATACTCTGTTCCTGCAGACAAGCCTCTCATTGGCTGGCCATTCAGTGAAATGTAACCAAGATGTGTGTGTTTGTATGCAGTCAGTTAGGTTATTTGCATTTCTTACTGTTCAAGTTATTTTTGTAAAACATTAGATGATGAGCCCAAACCACTTTATGATGAGATAGAAAATGTGTGTGTTTTGGCCTTTACTGTTTCTGTTGGAATTTCATCCGTATCCTTATAAACACTTGATTAACAAAGTGAAATTTGGCTATTTATCTTTGTTTCTTAAAGTCTAAAATGCATTATTTGTAATGTGGAGTTGGCAAATAGGAATAAATTAATGCAAACTGACCCACCTGATCTGTGTAGTTCATAAACACAAACCGTTCTTTAATTAAACATCAGTCTTCTTACAGCTATCACGTGCTAGTTAACAAAGATGGGTTTTTTAAGTTAGTGATTTTACATTATTCCGATTAGAGAAAAACAAAAAGAAAAAAAGAAAGGGTTTCTTACAGCTGTGAAGTCTTTGCAGACTTTACTTCACAGCTGTAGAGCCTAGACCCCAGCTAAAACACCCAGCACTTCTTGAGAGTAAGCAGAGGTATCTGTAGGATTTCTGTACTGGAAAGAATCACATTTCCATCTCCAATTACAGAGTAAACAGGCAAAACCAGTGAATTGAGGTCAGAGGAATGGGATTTAGTGATGAGAAATAGAAAAAGAAAGATGTAAACGGGAAGCTGTTAGATTACAGAATGAAGCCAGCAAAGCTGTTCAGTAGTTTTAGGAGTATGGTTTAAATTGCTTTTTAAAGGTATATCCCTACTTCAGGTGCTTAACAGTTGAGATCAAATCCACAATTGATTGTCAGAAAATGTATGTTAAGATGATGTTTTATTCCATTAAGTTACTAAGTTCCTATCACAGCCTCATCTCAAAGCGATTACAGATCACAAAAAGCCCTTGGCGTGATCAGAGGTATGCAATGGCATTCACATGAAAAGGGGACGTTTTCACCCTGAAAGGAGAGCAGAGTCTATAAAAATCTTAAGTGGCCTGAAGAATGAATGGGTGACTGCTGCCCATCACTTCTTTTAGCAGAAGCTATAGGGTCACTAAGTGAAATTGATATAGGGCAAATTTAGAACATACAAAGGGAAAAAGATATTTCCATGGAGTTAAGCCACAAGCCTCACTGCTCCAGGAGGATGTGGCAGCAAGAGGATTGTGTTGAGTGAACGGCAAATGGATGGATTCAGGAAAGAAAGCTCCCAGGGATCCCAGCACACCAGGACGTGCTCAGGCCTGAAGAAACAGGCCTGTAGGTCAGATTGTGCGGGGGATCGTGTCACTCCATGCTTACCCTGCTTTGAAGTCGTGCTCAGACATCTCCTACTGCTTGTTGCCAAACAGAAAATAACCGGCTAGACAGACCCTGCTGTGAGCCAGTACAACTTGGTTGCTCATGTTTTGTGGCTACCTAATTTTAGATACTTCTACTACCCTAGTTGTTAAGTCTCTGGGCTCTTTGCTCGTCCATGTGCTAAAGGTTGGTGATTCAGCCTACACAGCTAGGCACGCTTGCTCAGGCAGTTGGCTAAACGCATCCAGTGTTGCAGACTACAACTCCATCCTAATGATCCGTATCAAAAGGTGTTGTTATTCCTGGTGAGACCTGGCAGGACTTCAGTTGCCCCTTTGATTCCATGCTCACAACACTGTGTGTCACGTTAAAGGGAAAAAATTAAAAGACTGTAGATTTGGCCAAATCCAAAACATATGACAGCATCTGTTGCTACTCCTGATCCAGCCTGAAAACAAACAAACAAAAAAAAACACAGTAAGATAGCAAAAAAATACCAAGTAGCCAAGAATGACAACAAGGTCCCACCCACTCATTTTAATTTCATCTTACTCCCAGTAATTCACCAGCTAAACCCCAGTGTTTTGGAAGCTAGGCCTACATCCTCATTCTTCATTTAACATTTTTTTTTCTTTACGAGCTAGAAATAAGACCTTGCAGTAAGATTGCTAAAGACACGATGACACTTTGATGAAAAAAGCATTACTCGCTAGGAGGACGGCTTGACCACAGTTCTCTCTAATTATTAGAAAAGAGGAGAGAACTGACCCAACCAAAACTGGAAGATCTGCGGCCAGGCCAGCCCAGCTGGCACAGCTGGCTGCACTGCCTGCAGCTCTGCTGCAGAAATAAATGAGAGCAGGGAAACAAATACGATTCTAGTTATATTGCTTACCTTGTCTTGTCTGTTCTCTGAACTTGCCAAGCTGTCTATTCTTAGGTCCTCTATTTTGTCTGACCATTCAAATGGCACTGTTGGAACAGAAAAGATCCCAACTAAGTGCCTGTCACCAGCAGTACTAATGAGAGCAGAAATAGGGGAAGTTCATAGAACCATAGAGTCACAGAATGCTTAAGGTTGGAAGGGACCTGTAGAGATCATCTAGTCCAACCCCTCTGCACACGCAGCGTCACCTAGAGCACGTGGCACAGGACTGCGTCCAAGCGGGTTTTGAAGATCTCCAGAGAAGGAGACTCCACAACCTCTCTGGGCAGCCTGTTCCAGGGCTCTGTCACTTACTGTTAAAAAAATTTTCCTTAAGTTCCTGTGGAACTTTTGGTGCTTCAGTTTGTGGCCATTACCTCTAGTTCTGTCAGTGGCCACCACTGAAAAGAGGCCAGCACCATCCTCCTCACTGCCTCCCTTGAGGT